CTCGAGAACATGAATTTCACGCAGTGACTGATCATGACTGGATAAAAAATATAAAAGGATGCCTCATTTCTTCTACCAGGTCCATCAGCACTTCTCTACCCAATCGCATTCACAGCACAAGCTAATCACTCCACATTCCAACAAAACCTCACCGACCTTCTCAATCCTAGTATTCCATTTCAAACACAATGTGTTGCACCACCCTCACCACTCTCTGTGTCTTGGCTGTCTTTGCGACTGCTGCACCTGTCGACCTCGAGGAACGTGGTAACTCCTATAACCAAGGTACTGCTGGTAGCGCATACAGCGGTCACACTGGAAACGTCAACGGTGGCAGCATTGGTAATTCAGGTGGATTCGTATACAATGCACCTTTGAGTAGTAAGCCTGTTTTATTTTGTGCTGATAAGAACATTTACTGATAGTTTCTTTTAGACACCGCCGGTAGAGGTGGTTTCAGTGGCTCTGGTATCGCTGTAGCTGTGGCTGCGGCGGCGGTAATGCCTATTCTGGATCCACCAGCGACGCCAATGGTGGATCTATCTCTAACTCTGGTGGTGCGGTTCTTAACGGCTACGACTCTAGTAAGTCTCACTATACCATGCAACATAAGGGTACTTACTCGGGATTTATATAGATACTGCCGGGAAAGGTGGCGTGTCTTCTAGTGGTGCCGCAATCACTGGAAGCACACATCATAAGAGATCCAATGTAAACCATGGACAAGCAGGCAGCGCATACACAGGAAACACTGGAAGTGTTAACGGAGGTAGTGTCTACAATTCTGGTGGGAAAGTCATCAACGGAGCTTTCTCCAGTAAGTCGTGGTGATGCTCATTCAACCGTGGAAAATATTCTCATATTATGATAAACTATCAGATAACGCTGGAAAAGGTGGATACTCAATTTCCGGAGATGCTTATGCAGGCAATGGCGTAGGTGGAGGTAGTGCATTTTCCGGATCTACCGGAAGTGCAAATGATGGGTCAGTCTACAACTCTGGAGGCACTGCCATTAGCGGTTTTGCTTCTAGTAAGTGTCTCTCGGCACCTTAACCATGGAGTCTCAGTATTCTGATCTGGATTCCCTTTCAATTCTAGATACTGCTGGAAAAAGTGGAGTTTCTAGCAGCGGTAATGCAGTTGCAGGCAGCACCCATTAGATTGTCAAAACTTAAATCTTCAAAGATTATGCTGCTTCATACACGTGTACATTCTCCAAAGTTTCCTTTTTCACCGGGTATTATGTGGTCATAAATACTTCACATAGAAATAGATGTATATTGCGACTCTTTCATTCTCATTAGTGACTTTCCATAATGCAACTAGTTTCTGAGAAATGAGTACTGAAATTGTTCAATTTCAAATGGCGGTGGTTCTCTAGCACCCCATTTTCGGATTGCGATGGGATAGCTGGGCGTTGAGTAGAGTTGGTTCTTGATAAGGAAAGGGAGATTGTCCAACCAGATCCCTGTACTTGGTGTCACATGACATGTCTAAGACTGAGCTAAAGTCTTCTAAAAGTTCTCGGAATCCGCTGAGCATAACTTGTACGCTATCCATACGCCACTTAGGTACGAGTCCCTACGTCGCCTACGACTGGGTCAGCCATGAAGACTACACGCCGATGACAAAGAATACATCTCCTCGCAGTACTTATACTTACTCGTCTGTGTCGATACTGAAAACGCTGATACCTATATTCCTTCAATCGACTGACTGGTTTGTCGTTCAACTGTTCCTTGAGTATAATCGCACTACACCCGATTCAAAATACCAAATGAAGATTTGAACAACTCGTCCTACCGAAAGTCAGAGCAGGCGTAACCTCAAGCCCATTAGTGTACCGGGCCTTGGTAGGTATTCTCAAATCGCAATAATATATCCTTTCCTTGGATGAATCGTCTCTTACTTACGCTGACGACGACATCACGTATCATCAAACATTCCACTCCTGATGTTGAATCAACACGTAGCTGAGAGTACAGCCTCACCACGCGTATGGTAGCTGCTCTACCACAGTTCGTGATGCGGTTATGGCTTCCAAGCTTCAACTTGTAGTCGCTTTCCAACTTCTATCCGCATTGGCAACTTGAATACACCAACTTCATGTTCACGTTCATCGTCATTGTATTGCATCATTCTAGATGAAAAGTCGCAAAACCTTTGTGCGTACCAATTTTTATTAAATTCATGGTAAGTTGTTTCATTTCAACACTTACATCTTTTCCAGACTTCAAATACCCAGTCGCTGGGATCTGTACTACTTAATTTGCAGTCACATTGAGATATGAATCGAACGCTGAGTTTCTCTACGCTTAAACTTGTTCCGGACTTGTGAAGCCAAGATATCAGCAAACTCATGACCTTTCATCATGACTCTTATGAAGGCGGTAGTCTCTATATCAAACATCGGAACTATTGAACAGTTTCATTGTTCGGTGAGTAAAGCCTTGATCTTGTAACCTTGCTTCACATTTATCTACTGGTGCCATCAATTTCAGCATAGGGAATGTGATAGTGTGAAGTTGACAGCTGTCGTTCGCAGTTGTCTATTGATTGTCTACTTATCATTCCAAATGGTTCTGCAGGTGAAGCAAGGAAGCGTCGTCGTTTGACAAGAAGTGCTACGGTGATGTTGAAGTCGTCCGAAGTGACAGCGGTTATGTCAACACCATCAGGCTATTCTTTGAATCAAGAGCACTAGTCGTGGAATGATGGCGCGGCGACATCCAGGTGTAATTGCAGCATTGCCATTTTGTTCGAGAAAGGGGGTCATACGCCGACCCATATGCACTGTAGTCGCCAAGATTTGTTGTGCGCTCCGATTTTAATGTCGATTATCGGTGACGGTTGGTATAAAGAGTCTAAAAAGCTTTGGTGATTCCCCCAAGCTCTTGCTCAAATCCCCTTTCACCTTTTCTTTTTCGCTCTTCAGGGTGCCGGTTGCGTGAGTACTCTACATTTCCCTTCTATCCAGGGTTACTCACTGTTTGATAGCCTTTAAATTCACCTTTTTTTCATCGTTGTGTGCTACCGTTGACCGGAGTCGCAACTTTTTTGTTTGACGAACTTTATAAACGTCTTCAACTTTCACATTCTTTAACAGCCTCATTAACGACCTGGTAGGCTTGTTTTCTCTATCGCGAGAAATATTCATTCTGAATACACTGCTTTAGCCCCCTTTACGACTACTTATTTGAAGATGCAATTCCAAACTCTCCTCGCTCTTGTGACCGTTGCTGTTTCGGCTACCCCTTCATTGGCGTTGCCCATGGGTCCTTTTGGGTATGCGTGTTTGTCAGCTGAAGTAACTCACTGTATTGATTGATTTCTGTAGTTGTGAAGATCTTGAACAACGTGACTTCGGTGATGAATTCGGAAATGGCTTTGCTCCCCGTCCCTTTGGTGGGTTTGGAGGCTTCGGGTAAGTCTACAACTCGATGGACGTACGTTTACATCGGTACTTACGACGTGCTCGCCTGACAGACGTCAAGAACAATTCGGCGGAGGCTTCAACGGAGTTGGTGGGTTCGAACGTCAAGGCAGGGGTGGGTTCGGAGGATTCGGAGGTTACGGAGGGTTCGGAGCTGGAGGTCGTGGTGGATTTGAAGGCGGCTTCCGCCATCACGGAAACGGATTCGAGCGTAACCAATTCGGTGAAAACCACGGCTTTGGTGGTGAATTTGGTCGCCACAAGCAACAGTTTGGGAATGAACACCAGAAGTCCGGTGGCAAGCCTACCACTAGTACTCACACCACGACTCAACAACATCAGAACGGCAAAGTCAGTGGCAAGGCAGCGGGTAATGCTGCTCATGAGAAGCATGGCTCTGGTGCTCTTTCTAACCACCCTACTACCGATGGAAAATCAACCAAAGTACCAGGCCACTCTAATAAGGCTCAATCTACGACTGGTCACTCCACCACCGGTCATTCAACTAACGGCCATTCCACCAAGACTGGTCACTCGACTACAGGACATCCCGCAAATGAGCACTCCACCTCCCACCACTCCACCACTGGCCAGTCTGTAGCTGGTCACAGCAAGGTTAGCACCTCCGGTTCTAAACATCCTACAGACGGACGTTCCGCCAAAAAGACTACCACCCACTCTACGACTGGTCATCCCAGCACCAAATCTCGCACTACCAATCAACACTCTACTACGAAGGGTCACGAAGCGGATCACCTGCATGACAAGAAGCTTTCCACTCACAAGAACAGCGAAACCGCTGCTCACCATGTCGGTGGTACTGCGAACCACAGGACCGGTTTGAGCTCATCCCATACCACCACCCACAAGTTTGATGCTACGCACAAATCTAGTAGAATTGCTCATGATTCTCATCTTGTCGGTTCTTCTACGCACAAGGCAGGTGCTACTCATGAATCGGAAACACATAGAAATTCCGCTACCTCTGGTCACAAGGAGTCTTTGACTCACCACGTAGCTACGGATTTACGTGAGAAATCCACTGGTGGTCACACTGCAACCCACGAGCAAGATGGTGCTCACTCCGGTGCTCTCAACACAAAGGATCACGCCGATGCTCACAAGGTCAGTGATTTTTCTATCACCAAGATATGTCTGAATTGACAGAAAATGAACAGAGCTCGTCGTTCAACACTGGCTCGCACAGTAATACCCATGTAACTGGCGCTTCGTAAGTTTACCGCTTGAAACCTACTGTCACTCCACCTGATTTCTCTTCCGCGTACATTTAGTAAATCACAAACCCACGTCCAAGGCAAGAGTGCCTCGAGAACCTCTGTCCGCAAGCCTCGATCGTACGAAGAGTTGGTACTGCGTTTCTACGACGATCTTGACTAGAGGTTAAACGGGATAAATGTATACTTGTAATGAAGTATGAAATAGGGATCGAAGAACGATTAATGAATTAGTGTTTGGGGTTAAAAATTTCGCTTGCTTGAACATCGGATTTGCACTGGAAAAATGAATGAATAAACCTTGATCAAATACCCTGAGGTGTGATAAAACGCTGACAGTAGGATTTGAACCTACGCGGGCAATGCCCAAGTGATAGCGGATGGATGTTCGAATCACTCGCCTTAACGACTCGGCCATATCAGCGATACTAACTGTGGTTTGATGTTTTATCAGAAGAACAATCCTTTCTGAGGGAAGAGGGCAATCCGAGTCCTTATTGCCAATGATTGAGTCTAACATGATAAGTTCAGTGTTCATGCAACGTTCATGTACATGGTTCATCGTAATCCTGCCATTTCCATCAGCAGTTCTTTGTCACTACTCTCCTCAACAAGTCTTCGGAGGTTTCCATTCTCAATTTGGAGCAACGCGGATGGAGAATCAAATTCGACCTGAAAAAATTACACTATTAATCAGTCATCCGGCGCCGTACCAAAGGAAAGAGAAAACCGAACTCACAATTTCACCAGCTTCCAGCACAATCTGGTCATTATTGAGTGTGGTCAGAGACAAGTGGCTTCATGCGGAACGAGCGACGGGAAACTTACAATCTTATCAGCATCCATGATAGTTTGAAGACGATGTGCGATGGTCAAAACAGTGACATCGTTGTTCAGTTCTCGCCTCAAAGAATTTTGGATCACTTTGTCAGTATCGTAGTCTGTATCAAGCTCATGAGTATACCAGGGTAACATCAATCCACAAAGAAATATGATCTCACCAATAGCAGAGGTAGCTGTTTGAATAGGAAAGTGAGCGAGTGAAAGATAGAAGGGGTGATCAAACGGACCTTCATCAAGTATCAGAACTTTACCTCGCCTCACAAGTGCACGTGCTAAAGCTAGTATTTGACGTTGACCTACTGAAAGGTTACTTCCTCCTCCAGATATCATGGTATCAAGAGTTATACGGTTCTCGTCGGTTTCTGCCTGCAAAGAGAAAAGTCCCGCGGAACGTAATGCATCGTTCAATACCACATCGTCATGTTGTGAGAACGGATCCAGGTTTTCTCGGAGTGTACCACTGAGAAGTTCCGGCTGAAGATATTTTGTCAGATTCACGACAAAAGGAATAGCTGGGTATCTACGTACGACTTGAGGAATGATGGTAATCTGCGACCGAAGAGCATCGATATTCAAGCTATGGGTTTCAATTCCATCATAGTACATGGACCCTTCTGTAAGAATGCATCGCATGAGTGCGAGGGTCAACGAGCTCTAGAAATCGAGTGAGATTTCTTGTATGCGGCAATACTTGAGGTGATACGTACCTTCCCACTTCCTGTCCTGCCAACTAATTTTCATGTTCAGGTCGTCGTTGTATATCTATAATATAGCATGAAAGCCTACCGATTCCGACACGTTCACCAGATTTGATATGGAAAGATATGTCATTCAACACTTTCGGACCGTCCTAGACAGCCAAACGGAGCTTAGAGAGAGGATGACATCGAGAACGATGATTCAAAGTTACCGCAGAATAGCGAGCTGAAAGGTTGTTAACTATGATATCTCCGCTCGCTGGCCAATAAGCCGGTGGAATGCCATCCGGTTTGGGAGAAGGTTCATGTTCGATTGTGAGATATTGTTTCACCCGTTCCAAACTAGTGCCTGAGAAGTATGACACAGGTCAATTGAACGGCATGGTTGAAAGAAAGACTATGGAACGCACCGGAGGTCTGGAATGCATTGAAACTTCTAACCCACCATAAAATTTGACTCGTAAAGCCGACTGTAAATTTAATTGATGTTGTCATTCATTCGGTTGGGAGAAAATCGATTAACATACCAGCCATGGTGAGCGAGAATCCCATCAACGAAGCCTTCATGTTCGTGTCACCTCCGTAAACTAGGTATGCCGCAAGACCCGCTGTAAAAAACCCGCCTAGACCTTCCGTCCGAATCGTTATCCATCGGTTCAAATTGTACACCTGCTTGCTGGCACGAGTGTATCGATCGATTTTTCTGTACGATTCCCGTCGAAATAGGTCTTGTGCACCATAGGCTCTGATAGACACTGTACAAGTTGAGCATTTCAGGATTTACAAGGTCAACATAAAGTTATGAATGGAGCGACTTCAATCCTCACCAACTCCACTAGACAATGCGCCTAGATGACCTATGATTGGTGCCTTGGCATTGTTGGATTCTCTCGTAACGGGAAGTTGACCTTTCATGTACATATTTCCTACCCATGCGCCAGCAGCTGCGAACGCCATGCCGGGGATGCTGAATGCAGGTGAAACCAATAATATAGCAACATATCGTGCTATCATCACTGAGGACACCTCGACCCATGCATAGAACATCATTGGAATATTCTGATCGACTGCCATGGTGCAACGAGATCAGCCCTCCATCGTCAGCCCAAGAAGATGTGCTTACTAGCTGAGATATCCGCTGTGCAGCGCGTTATGATACGTGAGACGGGCGTACTGTCGAGCCATCTGAAACCGATACAGGTATGAAAAGGATTGAGACGGAACGAACGAGCTGCTCACCGAAAAGTAGCACGGAAAACTGAAGTCAGCAGAATTCTATGGATGGAAGCTGAGGCCCTGATTGATCCAAAGGTGTACACCGTATATGCCACGAAGAACATAACGATAGTAAGGACAACAAAGCCGACATATGTTCCGAGGTACCTGAAATACAAAAACAGTCACTTGTTCAGAGGGGCCCGCGTGCTATGAATATTTTATGAGAGGTGACCTACAGTGGAACGGAAACCTCGTATGAAGGTCTATTCTGATATTGTTCTGTCCATACCCCCAAAGTCCAAGTTTCGAGTGTATCGGAAAGTTGACTTAAGGCAGTGAAGCCGAAGAATACAAGATAGAAAACGAACAGCCCCGATGGGCTAGCCATGTTTCCCAATAATAGTTTCACTGATTCACAAGGGCGAATTAGAAGATACCATATCTGTATATGTTGTGCAAGACTTACTAGCATCCCAGCTCACGTGTCCTACTTCAAGTTCTTCGGCAACGACAAGTTTACCATCTGCCATCTTCTTAGGTTCATCTTGGGTATTTTCATCGATTTGGTGATCTGCCATTTCGATAGCTTTTGCTTCTTTCTTGACTTCATCTGATAACTTTGCATCTTTGGAAAGTGCACTTGAGAGAGAACCTTGACTAAGTATTCGGCCATCTAATCCAATTGAGACTACGAAATCAGCGATAGGTGCAGCCAGCGCGATATTGTGAGTCTATCCAAATTCAGCTGAATGAATGAACAGCGTAGGTCAGGAGAAAGCCAAAACTGCTTACGACGAGAATAACAGTTCGGCCACGGACCAAATCTCCTTGCAAACATTTGTCAATGATCCATTTTGCAGTGTGTACGTCGAGAGCAGCAAGGACCTTGATGTAGTGGTTACTTAAATGACACTGCTGGGAGAATTAGGCTCTACTTACATCGTCCAGAAGCAGTGTTTCGGCATTTGAATAAACAGCACGAGCCAGCGTGATTCGAGCCTGTATACGGCGTTAGAAACACTCTGAGGATACTTTGAGATCAGAGTAGTCGGTCTAACCTTTTGCCCACCACTGAGTGTTATACCTTTCTCGCCGACCTCAGTTTGATCGCCAGCATCGAATAGACGGAGATCGTGGTTCAGGCTGCATTGCGTCAAAACTTGAAAGATTTTAGCTTTCTTCCAGCTTAGAAAACAGATAAACCACAAGGTACTTACCAGCGTTGTATCTTTCTTCATCGAAATTAGCACCGAAAATGATATTGTTCTGTTGAGAAATATTGAGAATATGACACAATTTGCATCACAGAGAAGTATTATTTGTTTACCCGAATGGTGCCGTTGAGGACCCACGATTCTTGAGCATGATATGCAATACCTTTGTGCCGAGGCAAGCAGATCTTCGGATTAGGACCGAGAGGAGCGGCATGCATTTCACCTGAAAAAAGGGGGGAAATGAACACTGAACAAAAGTATAAAACCAAGAATATACAGACCTAACAGAGCCATCAACAAAGAGGTTTTTCCAGATCCAGTTTGCCCAATGACAAGATTGATTTTCCCAGGTTGGAAGAAGACTTTGTCTTCAATTCTCAAAGTAAAACCTCTCCGATCTGACGCTCCTTTGGTTGAGTCTGTTTCCCAACGGAAAGCCGTTTCCTGAATCCCAATATCATCTGTGTCTTCTGTTGTTACAATTGGGTGGAGAGACTCAGCAGACTCTCGTGCAACTTCAGGATAACTGAGACCGTCCAGAAGCTCAGTCTATTTTTGAAGGCACGTTAACGTTTGAAACATTCACAGCGAGATTGAATAATTATATCCACCTCATGCAAGAAATCATTGATCCGGCTAAGTGAGACTTTTGCTGCTCAGCGAAAAGTGCTGTTTGAGTCTAGTATCTCTAGAAACACATTTCGGGCAACTTACCTTGGATCAAGTAAGGAACCCACCAGATAATAACAGAGAACATATCTTGAACCATCGCAAAGACTAACGGGAGAGAAGTAAATGAGTCGGACATGTATTGGTGTGCAAAGAGGGTACCTACTTGCAATTGACGGAAAGACCTTCGATGGTGTCAAATCTTCCTTCATAATTAATGTCTGTATAGATGTTAGTTTCAATCCATATGTTTCTGTAGAAATCCTTACATATGTCGTGTAAGTCACAACCATGCATGATATCGGGATTAGTCGACTTAGGAAGACATTAAACCTATCGCCGCATGGAGAACAGTTTGTTTATAATACTCACCTCAAATTGTTGATCCAGACACTCAGTATTTTGTACTGTCGAACATACTTGAGTTCATCTTCTCGTACCTCTGCCATGCGATCGCCCATCTTATTCTCCCATCCGAAGAGCTTCACCATGCGGATTACATTCATAGCTGAATTTGTCAAATTTGACCACGGTGCAAGGAAAGAAGTTTTTTACTTACTTTCACTGACAATCTGTACGCGGGAATCGCTCTATGGAGAGAAAATGTAAATTTTTTGAAAGCTTCCACCGAGCACTATCACACCTTTTTCATCTTCGCCTCTTGGATTCTATTCATCAGTTTAGAGAGATATCCCGGAATAGGCATCATAACAATCATCGCGATTAGACCAGGAATGATGCTAAAGCGTCGTTAAAGCAGTTGGAAAAGGAGATAGTGGTGT